TCTCCCCTAGCAAACATGGTTCGTTTGAGGCCCTCACTTCTCCCTGCCTTCTCACAATAGTGTTAGCAGGGACATCTCTGACCTTGGGGGAGAACAGGCTATTCCAGAGGGAAGAGGGTCTACTGGGGAGGTTTGTTTCTAACCACTCTCTCTCCAATATCTTGAGGCTGGGAATTCCAGCTTAACCTTTTGACCAAGACAAAGCAGGTAGGCAGAGTCTACCTGGATCAGATGGTCCGTTAATGAGGATGCAAGCCATAAAGGGCTTTATAAATTATCACCTCCATCTCGAATGGAAGTCACATGACAGCCATTTCAGCTCCCATATATTGGTGTTATTCTGCTATCCTGCTGCTGACCAGTCAGAAAGCGAGCACCTGCATTTAGTGCCAGCTGTAGCTTTCCAATCATCTTCAGGGGTAATCCTACACAGAGCCAACCACCAAATCATAAGGGCATGAGTAATTCTTCCCAAAAGATCTCCACGCCTGAATGTGGAGGACTGTGAATGCATATTCCTTATTTGGTTTTCTTACTCCCCTTCTATGTTGTCTTTGCTTGCTTGCTCTCTTTCTGTGCACCAATGGGAATATTAACCTTGTGGGAGGTCTTTCCCAGAGTTGATATTCCCTCTAATGAACAACAACAATAACTACTATGACAACAGAAGTCATGACTGATGGAGAAGGCTCTGCTCTCTCTAGAAGCCAAAGCAGAAATGGCCAGGGCCGTGGCTGGCTGAGAAGGGGTCGTCTTGCAGGTTGGCGGCCTTTCTCAGATTACCTCTCCATGAAAACTGGAATGTTGACATAGGATGGTGTGAAGCAGATGCCTTACAGTTCCAGTGGCACCCGCAGGGGTGGCTGAGTCAAAATCAGCAAGATAGTGGGTGGAGTGTCATGATGCAAGCTCCATTGCCCTTGTACATATGTTGCTATCATACAGACATTCAAAAGGGGCAGGGGATAATAATATTAATAAGAGTCGCTGGGAGTCAGGTGGCGTATAAATTTAGTAAATAATAATGATCACAGAAAAGCAATCCGAAAAAATTACAAAATACCAGGACTTGCAAATCAAACTTAAACGCTTACGGAAAGAGAAATCCGCAGTTATATCAATTGTGATTGGAGTTTTTGGAGCAATACTTACAACACCCTAATTTTACAAAAAATACCCTGCTTGGAACTACCTCTATCCTCAAATGCTACCTTAATCATTCTTAGGTCCTTGGTTAGGACTTGAATTATTAAGTTTCCACCAGTCTTTGACTGTGAATCAATTGTAGATTACCCATAATAAATATATCAATTTGCTTATTAGGTCAATCCAAGTAGAAGCACTCAAAGAACAATTATGTCTATCAATTTCCTTCCAATTTGCAACAACCAATCCCTATTTCTCCCACTCAAATTGTGAAAACTAAGCGGCAGTTTATCTGTACTTTTGAGAAAAATAGATCAAGTGTATGTTCAGAGCAAGTTGCTTTAAAATGTATTATTTCATGGCCATCTCTTCAGTTTAAAGATTGATTTTGAGATAATGTGTTTTATGCCTATCATTGTGTACTTTCCTGCCTTTGACCACATTCCTATTCACTGCAATTTAATTTACCTGAATGTGAACTCAAATTGGAGAGGATTTCCTCTGAATTCTTATTTAACTCAAACTCAAGTTGCAAACTTGATACTGATTTCTTGGAAGGCTCCCTTCCCCCAAACAAGGTCTTATAACTAGATGTGGCATCAGATTGGGCACCACAAACTCTAGATGAATACAGGTAGTCCTCGCTGAATGACCACAAGAGGGAATGGAAAATTGGTTGTTTAGCAGGGTGGTAGTTAAATGAATCAGACCCCATTTTATGACCTTTTTTGCAGCGGTCATTAATTGAATGACGTGTCGTTAAGCAAATCACATGATTGTTAAGCAAATCATGTGGTTCCCCACTGATTTTGCTTGCCAGAAGCTGGCCGGGAAGGTCGGAAATGGTGATCACGTGACCCCAGGACACTGCAACTGTCATAAATACATGCTGGTTGCCAAGCGCCTAAATTTTGATCATGTGACTGTGGGGACACTGTGATGGTCATAAGTGTGAGGACCAATTGTCAGTCACTTTTTAAAGCAATGCTATAACTTCAAATGGTCACTAAACAAATGGTTGTTAAGCGAGGATTACCCGTAATAATTTTTTAAAAAACTTGAGTGACAATGCTATAAAGCTGTGTTAACAGTTACGAAGCAAACCCTGAATTCAAATCCATCCCCTGGTTTCCCTGGAGTGTTCTTCTTCTGCAAAGTATTGTTCTGTTTTTTCTACCTTATTTTCAGAAAAAATTAAAATATATTGAAAATGTCTTTCGAATAACTATTTTTGTGCTTCCTCTATAGCTCCAATGTGCCGTGAGACTCCTGGAGATTTTCTTTTCAGTTAGATTTCTCTTGCTGGATGCACTGAAAGAGTTCCTTCATAGCTTCCTGGGATTTCACAGAAGTATAGAAAATCATGGAAATCTGTAGTTCAGTGAGAGACACACACAGGCCACATGCAGGAGAATTTGACTATTTTTTTTTCTTCTTACTTACAAATAAATAAACAAGCAAATTATCAGATTGAAAGAGAACTATAAAAAGAAAATTTTGGAAGACAATTCCTACACAGCCATAGTCAAAGAATAAGCCAGTTAGGAGTCTAAATTTCACACTGTGTTCATTAGATCTTGGTAGCAAGTGTTGTGTACTTACCTACTATGTTCTCCACCAGAAAAATGCCACATTTATCCATATTATCTGAGCAAGTTTGCAAAGGTCCTTTGCAAGTATCTCCCAAGCCTTCACATGACTCACACTGCAAAGAACTTCCTAAAAAGCAGGAAAAAAGGACAAGATGCATTCTGTTTCTTTTTCCCTGAAAGATCCTTTTTCTACATCTCCCATTATTTGATCAAGACCCAGCAATCAGCAATGGAAATGGGAAGAGTAGGGTGACATGCCCGTGCAATAATTTTTTGGAAAGCTCAGCCTTGGATCCTTTCTAATCGGCTGTTGTTTTTCACATGAGTGTTAGAATTGCTGTACACAGGGTGTCAGTTGAAGGCACCCTAGTTTTCCTGCAAAGCTCCAAACTCTTTCCACCCATTTCTCTGAGCTTCTGGTTCAAGAGATCAGTGTCCAAATGCAGAACCAGCTGGACATTCAAGTCCCCTCCTTCCTCGTACATACACTTCCTGCCAAGGGGTCTGCAGGGTATGGTCAGAAAGGTCAGTGGCCCCAATGGTGCAATCAGAGCTCTCCCAGTTTATTTATGTGCCTTGCCAGGCAGAGTTTTCTCACAGAGGTAAAAACAGGCTTAGTGTTTGCAGACCAGCTTTTATATCTAGAAGGTCCGAGATGCTACTGGTAGAAATAATTTTTCTTTTCACTCTTTTTTTTCTCTCTAACTTTTCACTGTTCTTGTCTGTTTCTTCTCCTGTCACATCTCAGTAAATAGAGTTGTCAAGGTTGCTAGCGCAGTAGAGACAAAATGGGGAACATTTAGTATTTCAACGGGAAAGTGAAAGGGAAAGAACTGAAAGACTTATACCAGGAATTGAACTATACCCAATTCAATGCCCTGGAACTCTTTTGCAAAAAGGGCATTGCTGGGTTTCAGTGCTTTAAAATCATTCAGATCAATTTGGGTCATTAAAAGCATGCATTTTAATGGTTCGGATTAGTCCAAGTGGAATCACACTCAGTTCAGAGATTCAGTCCAAAGAATTCTGAATATACAAAATGAACTGCATCCATTTTTCAAATCAATTTGGAAACCGGAATTGGCCTTGGCTACACGTAACAACTTGTACCCTGTCTCTAGACTTCCCCAGTTCCTGGACTCTAGCAGTGCCTCCCCAAATACCTGCATGAGATCGGGAAGTTCCATCAACAGAGCAAAGCCGTGGCTTCTTGTCTATTAACCAAATAATTCATTGCAAGAAAACTCCAGCAGCGTCCTGAATCTCAAGGAAGTGTGAAACTGACCAGTAACACCAGGAAAGACTGTTGAGATTGTGAACATACCACCAAAGCTCAAACCTCCAGAGAAATCTATCTTGCTCTGAAAGAAGACTTCCTTGCTGTAGGACTTATTGCATGTACCAATAAAGAACATTACTAATAAACCATAATCTCTTTAATAAAAATGAATAAAATAAACTCAGGTTAGGTCACATGCCTGGGATTGTCTGATATTCCACCAGGCATTATAGTCTATAAGGGGGCAAAGTCAGTTCAAAAAAGGGAAAACCCAAAATTGTGCCTTAACTTCTACCTAACAATCCTCTGCATTTCATTTGGCCTGTAGGACCAAATGTTGCTTCCCTGGAGATTATTTGCTTCTGATTCACTAACATCTTCTTCCAAATGTGTTCATGACTCCTGTATCACAATACACAGATACTGCTCAAGCTGACCCTAAAACTTAATTGCTATTCTCCTTTCACTATATTGTCAAACCTATGCACTTACTTGCCTCTCCTCCAGAGCAAGTACCCAACTTATCATTGAGCTGAGCTTGGCAAGGAAACTTCTTAGAAACACAGAATGAACTTCTTGAGATGAAAGAGAGACCTCCAACCCCCTTTGCTTCAAGAAATCTCTTGGGTTGATCTACTTACCCATAGTTAGAAGACATGCAAAGAGGCAGACATTGAGTAGGATTTTCATGATTCAAGACAGTATCTGGAGCTGGGATCCGAGCTGGTGGGGAAACTGTAAATTTGGTCAAGTCTTTGGGACAGATCAAATGTTTTACAAAACTGAACAAACACTTCTGAGAAATAGTGAAGCGGAAAAGGGTGGGGGTGGGGGGAAAGAACCACAACACCTTCCCTTGCTTCTCTCCTGCTGTCTTTTCAGCCTTACCCTGCACTCTTGCTCTCTTTTTAGTAAGGAAAGAAATTAATGATGAAGAAAAAAACACAATTCAGACTATTCCAGCCAGCTCCTACTGGATGTCTCTATTGTAGCACCATGCAGCCTGTCCAGAAGACTTTGATATGCTCGTTTTGCTTTGCAGATCATCAGAAACTGTAAAAAGGGCTACACAGTAAACCCTGATCACATCTGAAAAGCACTGTTTGTTCTTCTTGGAAAGATTCCCTGAAGAATTAACGTTCTTGCAGCTTTCCAGTGCTGCTGCAGAGCATCTGAAGACATTTGGTTGTGGAAAGGAATTTGGGGTTCTGTTTTTTTCTTCTTTTTTATGAAAATCATTCTGCTGTTCAGAGATGATTTGGCATCTGGAAAGCTTTGGGGCACACTGGCAGAGATGCTGGGAACATTCACAGGGAAGCAGCTACTTCCAGGTGGCTCCGAGGTTGGTCAAACTCACTGCTTGGGTGTTCAACTAGGGGCCCTTTGAAATCTTGGGCACACCCTCTCCAAAAATGGCCATAGACGAGGAATAAGCCTATTCATGCTAATCATTTCATTTTAATTCTATTTAAATTAAACAAATTCAATGTTCAGCCTTTCCCTAATTTACTGTTAACACATGTTCATATATCTTTATCTCTCAACCTGAATCTCTCTATCTTGATATCGCTCTTCCCACATTGAACTTTCCTTACGCAAATTTCCCCAAGGAAATTTCCTTCTTCTTTCTTTCTTTTTTAAAGTTATTGCTTCTGGTTGTATGCATCTTCTAGAGCTGTACTTTCAAATGTATTTTTCCAATGCAGTCTGGGGCAGCGGGAGGGGAGGAGGATGCTGACAGTTCTGGGCTTTTATCTACATGCAGCAGTGGTAGTGGGGTGTGTGTGTGTTAAAGTAGACAAGAGAGCAGACACAGTGTTATGATGCGAGCTCCACATCACATAAGTAAGTGTGTCAACATCACGTGTGCATACAATAGGGGCAGAACTGGAGTTACATTCACCAACTTTCCCCCCACCTAGACACTCTTGTCCACAGATCCGGAAGTTGCCCAGGTTGGGAAAACTATGGTAGACTTAAGCCATGGTTTTCATACAAACTGGGACCAGCCGTAGCACCAATTTTGTTGGGACCGTATTCTAATTTAATTATATGATCCAGAAGTCCAAAAATGACACTATATTTCATAATCAACCAATACAGTGCATTAAATAACATTTGAGACTAGTGGTATAAGGGCAAAGCTTAAGAAACAATTGACAATGAATGGGGAATGTATCAAATTGAATATATTTAAAGCTGGCCTAAAAAACAATCCAGCAAGAGGACTCTGTCACTGATCTGAACAATGCATTGAGTTCTTATTATTACTGTTTCTTGCTGAATGGAAGGCAGGGATGCTCAGAAAGTAGCAGGCTGAGTTCAAGGAGAAAAAGGGAAGCAGAAGCTCATGAAATGGCAGGGATTTGGGGGGAGATTTCAAGAAATGAACCATAGTGTTCAGGCATAACAAAAGGCAGAAACATAAACACAGCTACCTGTAGAGGTTAGACTTCCACTTTATTTTTTATTTTTATTTTATTTACCAAATGTGTCACCACCTTCTCGTTGAAATGATTCTTCACCTCCTAGCTTCCCATGCATGCTGAGCTCCTTCTAGTGCGTAAAGGGATCAGTTGGACTGTGGATGGAAACCCTCCCTGCCATCAGAGTATCTGACCTCTTGGCTTGGAGAGAGTATTCAATGTGGGCAAAGTTTGCACCAAATTGGGATTACAGTTTAGTTCAGTGAACAAATCAGGTCACTATTCACCAAATGCTACGCTTTCACACCACACAGTTCTTTTAAAGAATCATATGGCTTAGATGTTTGATTCACACAGCACATTAAATTATGGCTTCTTTAACTAAAGTTGATTGAGCCAGCCTCGTAGTCTGATTCTCACATATTATGCTAAACCATAATTTCTTGTTTGCAAGCCATGATGGCTAGATACAAACATCATGCTAAAGCCAAAACAATTAAAACTTGGTGTAATATGTAACAGGAAATCAGCCGTCCTAGGTAAACCAGACAGGAAACAAGACCAGATGAACTAATTCTACTTTATTGTAAGGCTAGATTAACAGAATCTTGGAAGTCTGAAAGTACAGATCTCCCACCCTCCCTATTTACCGCCCGAGTAGGTAGGGCGGGTCCTTCCTTTTCTTTTTCTGGCCGTTATTCTGTTGCGGACTCCTTTCTCTTTTGTCTGATCATTCCCTTGGCAGCATCTCTTCCTTTTGACTCTCAGGGCCACCCTCACATTCCATCACATGGGAGGAGGAATAACTTTGAGGGACAGGAGGAAGATCCGCAACCAAGACAAAGGTCAGATAAAAGAAATCTGAGTCCAGGAGAGAAATGTAATTTGAGAAAGCGTCTCAGGTAGGACCCTCCCTAGTTGTCATGAAAGATGAAGGGAAAGCAGGGGGAAGCACTTTCAGACTTGCAAGATTCTGTTACTGTAACCTTATCACAAGTAATATTAGCATTCATAACTTGATTTCCTAGTCTGATCTATCTTGAAGGGCTGACATCCATCTTGCAAGTCTGAACATGTTTCCCCCTCCCTTTAACTTCATGAGAATAAGGGAGGGTCCTGCCTGAGACACTTTCTCAAATTACATTTCTACCCCGGACTCAGATTTCTTTTATCTGACCGTTGTCTTGGTTGTGGCTCTTCCTACTGTTCTTCAAGGTTATTCCTTCTTCCCATTGCAATATATTACTTGTGTTCACATAACACACTTGAACAAGTCAGTTCATGACCTAGCAACTGCATTTGGCCAATGCATTAAGCCTGGTTTGTGTTCAACCTGGTTGATTTGAGTGTTAAGCAATATGTGTGAATGACAAATATATGCACTGGGGGGAGAGAGGCTGGAGAGGACATTCCAGGCCTCCAACCAAGCCTGCAGGCCAACTTTGCAGAAAACAGATGTTTCTTGTCTGCTTCCTTTTGATCAACTCAGTGGCCTCAAAACGCCTTTAGGAATTATGCTCCACTCTAAACTGCCAGGTGCATGAGAAAAAATATTTTCCATCAAGCAAGCTTTCACTTCACAGTTCTTTCCTGGCTGTGTCTCTTTCTTTCTGCTTTAAGGAAGCCCTCATTTCTCGAAGGTGCACCTGCTCAACCACAGTGGAAAGAAAAACCCAATCTCCTGAGATATTCCTAGAACTACACACATGTATGCTGATTTCATATGCCTGGAAAACAGCCTTTGCTAGAAGAAATCAACTGGAATTTGCCTGCGTGCATGAGAGATAAATGTAAGCCAGTTTGGTGCAGTCATTAAGGCACTAGGCTAGAAACTGGGAGACTGTGAGTTCTAGTCCCGCCTTAGGCACAAAGCCAGTTGGGTGACCTTGGGCCAGTCCCTTTCTCTCAGCCCTAGGAAGGAGGCAATGGCAAACCACT